AATTGTAAATAGTTGATTGTGGAAGCAAACTGCGTCCTGAAACCACAGAGCCCCTGAGCGTAAAAGTGGATTAGCTAATCCTGAATCTGGAGAATTTATCAGGTGAGGCGTGAACTCTAAAGAACAAACTCTCCTCATTCCTGTCAAGTAACTTGGTCGAGGAGGACTGACAGGAGGAGTCCTAAATGTTAAAGGAACCTGACCTGTCAATGACAGGTTGAAATCAACCAGATTTATATCTAAACAGGCTAAAAAGACAACAAGGACATCAGAAGTAACATGAAGCAAAAGATGAAAACCATAGGCACCATATAAATTCACCACATTATCCTTTCATGCAATTAAGAATAACTGATCAAATTCTAAAAGAAACATTACCTGCATTCATGTCAAACCACGAAGATGAACGAGCCAACCCAGCAAAGCTTGGAGTTGGTGAAGCTCCTGTTGCTTCACCAGCTCGAACACCACTAATGGTCGACTTCGCAGGTTTTGTCACCACTTGTTCAATCCCAATAATGGACAGAACGCGCCGACCAAGGACCGCAATCCGTGGAGATGGATCTTTGGCTAAGGAACACATAGCCAGCACACACTGTGAATAAATTGCGTTATCCAGTGGTCTTGGCCTTGAATGATTAACTCCATTGCTGACACTATCATTCATTACCCCAGAATCAGAAAGCTGGGACGAATCATCAGATAAAGGAGACCCATGCATGATTCCAGAAGTAGCAAGTGGACTGCTTGTTGAGACCCTTCCATCTCGAACCACTGATTGGTTATCATTTCCAACTCTTGTTAAAGGACCAATTTGGGAAGAAACAATACTCCCGCTCCCTGAACCTTTTATGTTAGCCAATGAAGGCAACGAATTCAGCAAAGAATTAGGCTGAGGCTTCCAATACGCAGCAGCAATTGATTTCAGGTGCTGCTTGTGACCAAAGGCAAAGCGTGCTAAAGCTGCAGATACAAGAAGAAAATAAAAACTTCTTTAATATCCATAACACCAGCAACAAATTCCCCCTTTCCCAAGACCCAAAGAGGGAAAGAAATTATGCATTCATAAACAGGAAAAAAATGCAAACAAAATGCAAGCTTTGATCCAAACAAAAAGATCAATTTTCAGCATAACGCGTTTGGTAGCACCCCAAAGGAATTAAATGATAAATATACAACAGAAAGTGGGCCAGTGTGTCTCAAAATATCCAAATCAGAAATTTTCATCCAATGGTATCATCTGATATAAAATCACTTACCTACTGCAACCTCTGCCCTGACTAGTGGGCTTCCATCAGAAACAGCAGTTAAAAGGCTTCTAATAATATTTATTTCAGCTTTAATCTTTTCATCATCATCAAATTCTTCATCTCCTCCAACACCATCTTTACATGTATCAAGGCCAACGTCAAGCAGGGTACCCAGTGCAAAAACAACAGAAGCCCTAACCTGAAATATAAGACAAAGACGAGATTTTATCTACAATTTATCATTAGCTAGCCAACAACTAATGATAAATAGATCTCAAAGCAACAAGCTAAACCTCAGGCTGGGGCTCAGACAGTAGAGGAGCAAATATAGCAGGGGCATCTGCCTGCAAGCCAATTATTTGTGCCTCAGAAAAATCTTCCCACAATTTTCCAAGGCACAAACAAAGCCACTGAAGAAACAAGGGTTCTGTTTGCACATCATTCGGAGAGCCTTGAAGATGCTTTGAGCACACATGGATTAAACCTGCTTCAATGCACGCTTCCTGGCCCCTTCTGTGGCCATCCACAATGACAGCCAAAACAAATGCGGCCATAGCACGTTGTTCTGGATATGCTTCCATACTATCTAGAAACCTGATGAAATATGTATGACCTCCATCCTTCACGAGATCAACCTGACATGACTATATTCCCAAAGAATATTATAATTCTGGCTAAAGAAAGTCAAGGATTTCATTTAAGTAAACAAAAAAAAAGGAACTATAAAGGGGCTTCATGGTAAGAAAAGCAACAAAGAAAATGAAAACCAAATACGCTTTCCTGCAGCAACAAGATATCCAGCCACAAGATTTCCAGAGCATGAGAACAAAGGGTTGATTCTTAACTTAATAACCAAAAATTGAATTTTGGAAGGCATCTCACAAAGATAAACTGTAGAAGTTCATATGTCAAATAATATTAAGTACATCTCTATACCAACACAAACAAACATGCAGTACAGTAGAAACATTCAACATCACATCTTCCTGACAGTTAGGCTGGCTCACACTTAATTTTGGTGTGCCTGGCAGTAATTACGTAAGGAGACACATATTGGAATGTGTTTTTTTGTCTTCCATGGCCATATGTGCGCACACATGCCATGCAAGCATAAATAAATAAGTGCATGTACATTTTAAGTACAGAATGAGAACTTCATATATACCTTGTCAAGTGCCAGAATCTTCGTCCATATGAAAACAAGAATCTGTCTTACTTCCGGTGTGGTTGTCTGCAAAAGCTTTAGCACATATGGGAATATTCCAACAGACAAGGCCTAGAAGAATGAAAACAACCCAGAAGTAAGCATTCCATAAAATCATCACCAAAGAGAAAATATTATCCAGAAAAGTAAAATAAGAGCAGCAACAGTCACCACAAACTACCAGATCTACAGCCCATGGCCCCATATCAAGGAATCTTCCGAGAAGAACTAATGCACGAAAACGATGGCATTGACTGAGTAAAACCTGAAATATAAGTATTCAATTGACTGATTAGTGTTATTCAAATGATAGTGTTCAAAGATTCAAACCATTAGAAAGATCAACCAGGAATTTCAACAAATGATTTAAAAGCATGTATTTTGACCTGATGGAAGGCCAAAAGGCACAGGCCTCACAGCAGTCAATACTACCATATCTAATTCCTTTTTTATCACAAAACTAAATTAGCAGCAGAAACTACAAATTGTTATGCCAGCACCAGACAGCGTATGTGCATGAGCTTACCATAGGTCAACATGCTTTTCCTGATACATGATCAAGCTTATCAAAAAACGTATTGGCCATTCAAGTGAAACTGATTAACTAAAATATCAACAAGGGAAATAAGTAGTGACAACAAACAGAGAATATTTTTCTTTCATAAAAAAAGAGCCTACCTCATTTCACCTTCTAATCCAAACAATGGAAAAAAGAGTCATACTTTAGAAACTATCCAACTTATATTCCAAAAATCACTGTGATATAGTAAGTGAAGACACTCATAAAACAGTCATGGAGAACTGCCCAACCTGGAGAACAATGGGCAACTGCTCTGGTGGTTTCTTATGTTCCGATCCATGATCAAGCCATACCTCAAAAGCTGTCAGCTGTTCAGTGAAAAAAGGGCTCGGCTGAAAGAAAACAAGTAATACTTCAAATGACAAATCATGAAGGTAATTTAAAAGAAACGTCAGTTTTAATTCTTTTGACACAAAAAAACACCATCTGAATTCATAAACAAAATCAAAATATAACTGAAACAATAGGGATAACGCACCTCAAATTCTGCATTAGGATCCTCAACTAATTGCGGAAGTTGAGAGAGGCAAATTTCAGCAGCCATGTCCCATGCATCCCTGCAGCACATAGGCGAGACACTGATTAAAGAAATTCTGAACATTTAAAAACAGATGAATGAGTTCCTCATAACAGTACCACATGTGATGTTGATGGGTTGGTGGCAACGTAGGGTGAGAGATAGGAGAGCAGTTTGCAGAACGCATAATTCTCTCAGCAAGTAGAAAATTGCGGAACAGACTGGCAACCAACAAATCTTGTCTAAACAGTCTCTGAAAGAGATCTGCATAACAAAACTAAACATTTGCTGAAATGACCAAAAAGAGCAACAGATGAACCGTTAGACAAAAGAGTTACATAAATCATCTTGTTTAAGAAGTTACCGTGAGGAAGAACATTCCAGGCAATGGTGTCAGTCACCGCAGTGAAAATCCAGTTCAATTCCCCCAGAAGAGTTTTCCGGTCATTTTGGCGACCAGGAATTTTGTCAATAATAGAATAGTCAAGAGTTTCTCGAAGCAACGAGCGTGTGCAGAACCTTGAAACAAGATATAACCATAATGCAATAGGAAGCATAATAAATTAGATCATCAATGAATTTGAAGTGAAAAGTATATACAATTTATTTAAAAAATCAATACTACCCAATATAGTAATCCAGATACCAAGAAATCAAGAAACAGTATGAAGACAATGGGGACAGACATATAAGCACCATCAGAAACCATTTACAGAGAATTTTAGATTGTGGAATTAACTGCTAACCAACAAATTGCACACTGAAAACCTTTTTACCCGATGGTATAGCTCTGATAAGCATGTTTTGTGTAAAACTGCTCCACATGTTGCAAAGGCCACTGAGTTCTTTATTACAGTATGTTTTAAGAACAAGGAAAAAAATATTGCTCAGTATGCCACACAAAATACCGTGGCTAACAACAGAAACTCATCTTATGATGAACAATGCAAAGGATGGCAATAACACAAAAACTTGCATTTCAAAGATATTTAATGGAACAATAACCAAATAACAATTTCTGAAAAAAATAGGTGAATATTTTATTTATTTCAAAAAAAAAAAGGTGAATATGTTATGGTCAACAACAATTCAACGATACAGCATTACAAGGGTAAAATTCCTATCCAGAAATAAATGTTTGGTTTCTGTTAATAGCTTATAAATAAATGTCAGGGCTTGATGCAATTTAACCCTCAAGAAAAGCGTGATGCGTTGGTATATAATTAGACACATTCTTGAGATACGCAAAATGTACTGAACTGTGTCCTCTCAAACAAAGCTATATACAAAGGGATTCCAATCCCTATTAGATAATGTTAACATTGGTTACAAGATAGTTAAAACAACCGTGAAGTTTCCAGAGAGAATCAGCCAGAAACTAATAAACATATGGGATAGAAGGCTACAGCTCCATCAGTGAATCTTGACTTCTGGTTAACCATGCAAGCCATGTTTCAAAAAGTAATAGGGACAAAAAGAATAACAAAAGGGTTTCTTGGATGGATGTCACTGATGTCAGAGTAACGAATTACGAGGCTCATATTTCTCATGCAATGCCTCCATAAAATACTGTTATTCATCTAACTTTGATCCCTTTTTAAGTTCTGCTAGATTATCAAGACACTGGAGGATAGGACAAGGGAAACCCTCAACAGCTCCATCTCTGAATCTTGACTTCCAGTTAACCATGCAAGCCATGTTTCAGAAAGTGAACAGGGACAATAAGAATAACAAAAGGGTTTCTTGGATGAATGTCACTGATCCCAGACTAATGAACGATGAGGCTCATATTTCCTTTGCAATGTCTCCATAAACACCATTCTTCATCTAACTTTGATCCCTTTTAGGTTCTGCTAGATTATCTAGACAGTGGAGGATTGGACAAGGGAAACAACATGGTTGTAGAAAGTCAATCTATCAGAATATTTTCTCATTTTGATGTGCTCAGGACAAACAACAAAAATAGATGATAATTGAGAACAAATTCTATTATCTAGAAAGAAAAAGATAGCCTGGACTCGTTTAGAAAATCAACACCAGGTAAAGAGGGAAATTCACCATCTCAATGCCATTTTGATGGGTGTTGTGAGCATGAAGTAAGACATCAGCAGAATTCATCACTCTGAGAGAGTCTCGTGAGCTTCACAAGCAGCAAGCAATATGCAGTCCCTC